AGCTCTTTCGGAAGTTTACTTCTTGGGGGGCCGGCGGGAAGGAGCGCCGCCTGCTGCCGAGAGCGGGAGCTGCAGCTTTCCTCGCAAAGGCGACCGGTAATTTTTCAGGTTCTGCGTTGGCGACGAACTTCCCCTTCGCTACAGTTTGCCAACTTTATACGGCCACGCGATTGAGGTCAGGCGAGGACAGAGGAAGGAGCAACAAATTATCTCTAGACAAGGAGTTTAGTTAAATTCAGAGGATTCCAGCTTTCTTGGACAGGAATAATTCTCTCTCTCTTCTTTTCCAACTTCAGAGCCATAGTTACACTGCAATTTTGATTTCGACCGCAGGGCTGGAATATGCCCGTAAAGATTTGTTAAATTCCAGCTATTCGATCTGTGAGAATTCGAGAGGTGCAATCCTGTTTACTTCCCATACGTGTTTTCTTTTGGGAAGAGGTCATTGGAGAGGTATTTTGTAATATTGGTGCTTATTTCCACTTACACAGCTCAAAAAGTAATGAAATGCAGGGCTAATGAACTTTTTGGCAGCGCCCATTTTCAAATCCCAGACATTCTTGCAATGTGAGCGAATTAACCACGTGTGTAGTGATGGGAAAATCAGACTAAGTACATGCTAACTTTACACGATTAGTTGCCCCTGGGGTCTGAGGCAGATACAAGACCTGAGGCTGCTGGGCCTCAGCTCCCCTCCCATGAAAGAGCGAGCTCTCCTGCTCCTCCAGTGGGATGGCTGCCCGTCCACACCAGCGGTTTCCTGAAAAGGAAAACCCTCCCCCCAGGCTGGTGGAACCTGCCCCGTGGTCCTGTTGCTTAGCATCTCTCCAGCTGCTTCACAGAACTCCATTTCTAGGGTGCTGATCCTCTCCAGCGCCCTTTCTGAACCTGATCGTATGTCGGAGCCCTCTTTGTGTCCTGCCCGGAACTAGACAAGACTTGAGGTGAGGCCCCACCAAAGCACAATGGAGCTATTACAATTTGGAAACCATGCAGCCCAACTCTGCATTTGCCGTGCTTTGCTTTTTGGGTGGTGTTTTGTTTTCCTTTGTAACCACATGATACTATCGTACTTTCATTCCAAGATATTTTTTTACAAGTACAAGTTACTAAGACAGGTAACCCCTCCATGTGTGCATTTGATTTTTTTTCTTAACTGAAAAGCTTCGCATTTATCTACGTTAAACTTCATTGTTGTTTTTACCCCGCTGCTGTAAGATTGTTCTGAAATTTATTTCTGTCTCTAAGGTATTATGATCCAGCCCAATCTGTGCCATCTGCAGACTTGATAGGCAAAATGTTCCTCAAATGTTCCTGCTCATAATCTGCACTTTAGTACCAGAATGTTTCTGAGCCCTCATATTCCTTCTGTCATAAATCAATATATGCTTAATGGGGGAAATAACGAACCCTTAATGCCTAGATTTCCACAGCCAGATGACAACCTGACCGTGCTGCCTCCAAGGAAGCAAAGCCGAGGAGAGCCAAAACTTCCGAGAGGCCCAAACTCCTCCTCCACTCTCAGCAGGCAGGACAGACTAAGGTTGCGTCATGCCCATTTCAGCTGGTACTGCAGAATAGGGGCTGCCAGTCTCTGGGAGCTGGAATGCCCCTTCCCGCAGCCTGTCTCCAGTTGGAAGTGCGCTGGGCAGACTGCCGTTGCTGTCCCTGCACCGATTCCTGCTGTGCCCTGAGGTGCCACAGGCCAGCCCAGACTTGCCCGGTGGGAAGAGAGCAACAGCAACTGGCTGGCAAGCGCATGGCCTGCCCAGGTGCCAGCTGAGGAGTGCCCGCAAGCCATGGCCCTTCTGCGGATGGGTTGGGGAGTGGGTGATCCTGTGCAAGAGGTGTCACGATCTCCCTGTGCGGGATCCTAGGACACTCTGTCCCAGGTGCCAGGGCTCCAAGATTTGTGAGCGAGGCACGGGGGCCTTTGGTCCATGTGCCAACTGCCCCTTCTCTCTCCAGCCACAGGTCAACAACCGGACAATCCCAAAGACAGAGCCATAAGGCACCGGGTGGCACTCCCAGGTAGCCTTGGTTTCCCCCGAGGAGAGAAGGCCTCAGTCCCAGAGACAGTGGCTCTGCAACCCTTCCCCACTCAGCCTCCATGCAAAGCCCAGTGTCTGGGGGGGGGGGGGGACCCCCTCCCAGAATCTCTCAGAGGCTCTTGCAGGCAGCCTTGCTCTGGGCTCAGATGCCCCCTCTGCTCTACAGCTCTTTTTCCAAGCTCGGGACTACACAGCCCTTTCCCAATGGCCCCTCAAGAATGCCCTTTGAGAACTGAAGAATCAGGGGCGGGGGTGGGCGGACTGAAGGGAGCTGGCCCACCACTTCACCAGTTGTGGGCCAGAGGTGCCAACCTGGGTTCCTCCCCCTTCCCTTGCCCTGCACCAAGTTCTTCCTTCTTCCCCAAATCAGAGGCTGTGATCCTCTTTAGCAAAACAGAAACCAGATTTATTGCACGATCTCATTTAAATACACCGTTTAGTAAATAGAAAGCTTTCCCAAGTTATGGCGGTTTATTCAGGCCAGGCAGGCAACAGGTGCAAACAAAGAAGGTGAAGAAAAAGGCGAGGGACGAGGCTGGAGAAGCTGCTGAGGGGCGGTGGGAAAAGGGGAAGCGTGACCCACCCCCAGGCATAAGGCAAGTCTGAAGCTGAGCCAGGAGCGCCCTCCGGAGGAGGGGAGAGAAGCCCTGCCCCAAACGCTGCCCGGCCAACTCATCCCAGAAAGGGGCTGGGAGTGGGGGGGGGGGGC